TGACTGGCCTTCGTCATACTACAGTTTGTGTTCCATATTCGGTCGCTCCCCCAACTTGTTTCAAGGTAACTGTGGCCATCAAGGCTGACCTTTATATACGCGGAGCTCTGGTCTATCTTACCTACAACCCATCCTTAACGACCACCACCTCATTACGTCCTCATTGTGGAGTAGTTCTCTATGACATACGGATTGATGAAAAATATATATTCGAATTACTCCGTAAATGATAAGCAAACACGGGCGGCCGGCGGTGTTGACTGTCCCGCGGGTGCGCGTGTGTGTCTGCATACAGCCGCCACTAATGTACACATTCCTGCATTTCGATACGCCACACACCAGCATAATAGATGTACATACAACACAAAGCAAAATAATATGTTGACTCGATGACAACAAGAGAGGTGGAGGAGTGTCAACAGGACGTTTGTCACCTCTCACCACCACACACCTGAGGTTCCTACAGGTGACACTACTGTACAGGTATAACGCGACAACACTCAAGTTTGTTATGGTTCACTTGTAACTATCAACACCTCCCTTCACAAGTCATCACGTATTTTGTCTCAACACAACACCAAACAATTTACTAATAAATATTGTGATTTAATAATCTTATGAGTCCTGCTTCATCTGTTTATTAATCAATGATGCATGTGACCAACTTTCCGAGAACGTCTTTCCAGGAGTTGGTCGTGAACCATCGTCTGGCTGACACAAATATGTTGTTTTCCAGACCAATAAGACACTGCCAGACACTGTTACTATCATGGCAGCCTCAGCAGGTCCACAGTAACACTCCTCCAAGCTACACTACACTGCACGTGACTGGTTCCGTTTTTGTTCTGGCCTCGCGCCAACACACCACGACCGTGTTAACATCCTGGCTGTTTACTTAACACTTGTCACCACAGGTCAGAAACTTGTCTTGACACAACAGCTGTCACGCCAACAACACACTCTACCACAAGCACTAAACCATCCATTAAGTCCAGACAACGCACTGAGCTGAGACAGAAACACTCAGCTGAGGCCAGATGGACCATACAGCTAAAACTTCACAACGCCCTCAGAACTCTTGTGACGCAATGTTGAGGCAGAGGGAGGTAAGGAGAACCTCCAGAGAGAGTCCAGTAGCTGGCCTCACCACACAAGAGCCTGGGGAGCGCCGCACACGACACGCAGAGCGGGCAAAATGCCGGTGAGGTGGTGGTGGGCAAGGCTGGTGGCGGTGGTGGGTAGTGTCCTGAGTGGCGGCGGGGGAGCGAGGTCGACCCGCTGCAGAGGGGCACGGGTTACGGCATGGGGTGAGGGGGGGAGGGGGGTGTAGGGAGGAGGAGAGAAGAGATGGAGGGACTGCCGGATGTAGGAGTGGTGGGAGACAGGAAGGTGAGGTGGACAACAAGACGTGAGGTATGGAGGGTGTGTGGAAGATATGGTCAGGGACGGGAAGATGTGAGAAGACGCTGGAGTGAAGAAGACGCGATCACTGAAGAAGAAAAAAGGAAAGTGTGAAGGATGGCGAGCGAGGGACGGGGGAGGGGGGGGCTAAGACAACAACAGGAGGTGGACGTTGGTGTGTATGCAAGGGTGAGAGAAGGAAGGAAGGAGGGAGAGAGTGACGGTGTGAAAGTTTGGTGCAGGAGAAAGGGACGAGAGAAAAGTTCGAGCGCACACACACACACACACACACACACACGAGAACTGTATCTTATAACATGACCACCATCCACCACAACATATGAAAAGGAGTTGATGATGATGTCTGCCCGTGTGTGTGTGTGTGTGTGTGTGTGTGTGTGTGTGTGTGTGGTGTGTGTGTGTGTGTTTACAGTATCCATCCTCAGCTTACAGATCCTCTCATATCCATCTCGAGCACGACCATAGTGGAGAGGGTGTGTGGTGGTGGTAGTAGATGGTGGTAGTTGTGGTAGTGGTGGTAGATAGTGGTAGTTGTGGTAGTCACGTGGCTGTCCTAGAAGGGAACTGACTCTCCAACTGTCAAACCCTTATGTCAGCTGACGTCACCCACAGCCTCATAACACACACATACACAGCGGCATTCATCAACTCACACACACACGGTGCCACAATTATCTATGACACTGCTCAAGCCTCCTCCTCCTCCTCCGTCTCGACAGTGTCCAACAAAATTCACAACACGAAAGAGACAACAAACTCAAGAGAGGAAAAAATCCGCGAACCTACAGGGTAACTTCCCACCCACTCACAGACCCACCCACCCACCCCCCCACCCACTCACCCAACCACCCACTCACCTCCACCACCTCTTCACTTTTGCTAAATTTCCACACCCTACCTCCATTATTTCATCTATTACCAAACACCATTAAATACTCCAATAGTTTATCAACATATAATAGATAATTTGAATATCACTACTAAACAAATGCTAATCGGAGAGGCACTATAGTGATCGGAAATGACTAACGATACAGTGTTTACATCTTGGTGTCTGTGTGTGTGTGTCCCGCGGCCCAACAAGATTCTTGGTGTTGACGTCACCTTTAGTTCTGTACTGTGTGAAGCAGCAGCAGTGGCGGGGCACTTTATTACATCGTCGACCCCACCTCCCACCACCCCCATTATCCTCCTTCAGTGCCTCCGTCAGATCATCCTGGGGCTCCGTTGGGGAAAGAGGTCCTGAGAACTAGGCGTAAAAGGGCGGTTCTATTTAATCCCATCCTAGCACACACACACACACACACACATCCCCGCCTTCGGGTAACACGTGTGATATTTAGTTAATGTGTGGGTTAACGAGAGGCGTGTGGGATATGGTGAGAATGGTGGCGGTAGTGTATTATGGTGTGTGAGGAAGGGGAAGGAAGGGAGAGGAAGGAGGGGGCAAGGAGGGGAAGAAGAATGGGAGGGAAGGATGGAAGGGAAGGGAGGGGGGAAGGAAGGGGAAAGGGGTGGAAGGGAGGGGAGGGAGAGAGGAATGGACGAGAAAAGAAAGGGAGAGGGAGGGTGAAGTAAAGAAACGGGTGGGTGGGAAGGGGACAGGAAGGGAGAGATATGAGTGGGGAAGGGGAAAGCAGCTGACAGACGCACCCTGATAGCTTAATCCCGCCATCTGTCCCCCTCAACCACACACACACTCTCTCAGTCTCAGGTCACGGCAAGACAACAGTCCCAGCCAGAGGTCAATTCTCTCACTACAGTAAAACCTCTATATACCGGGCTATATGTGAGGCGAGTCCGTTAAATCCAAGTCCGTTAAATATGAAACATCCTTCTAACGGACTTTTATGTAAGAGGCGAGTCCGTTAAATCCAAGTCCGTTAATTATGAAACATCCTTCTAAAGGTCTTTTATGTAAGAGGCGAGTCCGTTAAATCCAAGTCCGTTATATGGAGGTGTCACTATATAAGAACATAAGAACATAAGAAAGTGGGATACTGCAGGAGGCCGACTGGCCCATACAGGGCAGATCCCTTCACACCCATCCCAGCACTTCCATGTGCCTATCCAACTTCGTCTTGAAGCTCCCTAGCGTCCCCGATCCTACTATAGCACTCGGTAGCCTATTCCACATATCCACAACTCTATTACCAAACCAGTGCTTGCCTATATCCTTTCTGAATCGGAATTTATCTAATTTAAAGCCATTTGTTCTAGTTATTTCGTTATTACTGAGCTTCAGAACATCTTCCATTTTACCTTGTTAATCCTACTCCAATTTGTACACCTCTATCATATCTCCCTAACTCTACGCCTCTCTAATGAATGTAAGCCTAAGCTTTTCAGTCTTTCTTCATATGGAAGGTTTCTAATATTATGGATAATTTTTGTCATTCTTCGTACTCTTCCAAAGAATCTATGTCCATTCTATAATAAGACACCAGAACTGAACCGCATAATCCATGTGGCCTCACTAATGCTAGGTAAAGTTTCAAGATAACGTCAGCAGTTCTGTTACCACAGACCCAGATATGAACCCAAGAATCCTGTTTGCCTTGTTGCGAACGCTAATACATTGTTTTCTAGGTTTCAAGTCGTTGCTAACAAATACACCTAGATCTTTTTCACAAACTGAGTTTTCTATTTCCGTGTTACCTAGTTTATACTTAACGTTTGTATTTGTCTTCCCTATCTGTAGTACCTTGCATTTATCAGTATTAAAATTCATTTGCCAGTCTACTGACCACTCATGTAAGGTATCTAGATCTCTTTGAAGGTGTTCAAAGTCACTGTCTGAATTTATCGCTCTCCCCATTTTGGTATCATCTGCAAATTTACTAATCCTACTAGTTATGCCTAAATCAAGATCATTAATGAATATAACAAACAGCAGAGGGCCTAATACAGATCCCTGGGGAACTCCGCTTTGACCGCAATCTAGTCTGATTCTTTAACTCATTTATGCTGACTCTTTGTTTCCTACCAGTTAACCATGACCTAATCCATTTTAATACTGATCCACCCATTCATGTGCTTCTACCTTCTTATCAATCTCTCATGAGGGACCTCTATCGAATGCTTTACTGAAATCTAAATAAATTATATCATATGACTTATCATTATCTACCGCTTCATATACTCTGAGAAAAAGTTAAGCAAATTTGTGAGACAAGAACGTCTCTGGGTGAACCTGTGCTGAGAAGAATGAATTAAGTTGAATGTTTCAAGGTGGCTTTGATTTTTGTAGCAATAATTGACTTAGCAACTTGCCTATGATTGACGTAATAAGTTTGGTACAAGTCGCACAGGTAGATACACCAGCGACTAAGTAACAGGTAACTCTGGTCAGCGACTACTGAGGGACAGACCGGGATCCCAATAAGTGACTGAAGAAATTTCCTGGTATTATATTACAGTCGAGGAGAATTAACAACCAATGACCTAACAACCAGTGACTTAACCTGTGACCTTAAGACATGTTTGACCAGCACAAGGTAACAGCATCAATTATTATTAATGAGCACCTGTATATATGTGCAGAGAGAGAGAGAGGCGGTGGTTTAACTGGTCGTCTGTTACACCTGAGAATTAACATATTACAACGGTACACTACATTACCACACCTCGCTGACCTAACACTCTCCCATTGGTGTCTCATAACTGCTCTGGGTCTCACTCTTACATTGCATCCTCTTCACCACTAACCCTTTGTTTAATGAACTGACAAGTGTGAAGAGTCAAATTCCACAGAAAACAGGAAGACATGCCCTTTGACCTCGACGACCTGGCCTTTGACCTCGACGACATGCCCTTTGACCTCAGGTGGTATACTGCCTCGCCATCAGTGTTACCTATCTCCATTACTGACTAGCTAATACAAGTGGCTGGACACTTTCACAACTTGGCCATCACCTGTGTAAACGAGCGTCCACTTGGCAATTCAAGTGATGATGAATAATGAAAGTCTTTATTCCTGTGGTAGACGTACTAGTGTGTGTGTGTGTGTGTGTGTGTGTGTGTGTGTGTGTGTGTGTGTGTGTGTGTGTGTGTGTGTGTGAGAGAGAGAACGTGTATGTATGTACAGTATGTGTGAATAAGCAAGTGTGTGTGTGTGTGTGTGTGAGAGAGAGAGAGAGAGAGAGAGAGAGAGAGAGAGAGAGAGAGAGAGAGACTCACCTGATCATACTCCTGCTCGGTCTCCTTCTCCTTATCAGACTTCTCAGACCTGGACGAGGCAACTGATTCCGTCGACGTCGATTTCCTCTGCAAAACAAAGCTACAATATACCCACAAATTTACAGCTAAAATAACCAAAAGATTTGCCTGACCTAACCTAAGCTAATCTACTTTAACCTAATCTAGCTTAACTTAATCTAGCTTAACTTAATCTAACCCAACAATCTTATATAACTTTACATAATATAATATAACCTAAACTATTCTAATTTCACACAATGTTGATCAGAAAAAAATAAAAAAAATATGCCAAAGGAGGGTCACACACACACACACACACACGCACACACACACAGGTAAGGCTACAGGGTCGATTTTTTTTCCTCGTCGAAGGTGCTGCTGAGGCGTCACGACCACTGGAGGGAGAGGGATAGGGGGGGGAAGACCTGTCCGATGTGTGAATGGAGGTAGGTAAAGGGTCTCTCTCACACACACATGGCTCGGGTCACTTATTTAATACTATTGTTATTTTCGTTCTATCCTCAATTACCCTTTACAGTTGAACGTATCTATAATTATTTGAAGCTATCAATAATATTTCCATTCAATTATATATCCTTTTAATTAACGTATTAATAATTACCCTTAAAATGACTTATCAATTACACCTTTAAAATGAAGCAAAAATAATATTACCCCTATAGGTGAATGAATCAACAAGGCGTGATGCTCCTTTGTTTCATCAGTGTCGGGTACGCCATCCCAACCCACCTTTGTCAACAGTTGTGGCATACGATGCAAACTATAGAAACACAAACGCTTTAGGCTAGACGAAGGAGGGTCAAGTTTATCAATTTTTAGTGTGGGCAAGAGATACTAACTTCAGTAGCCCTGGGAGGGATTGGAGTGTTAGGTCAAAGTGATTCACGTTTCCTGTTATTAATAGTTATTTGGTAGACAGGCTGGGTGTACCCGTTGTAGTGGCGCGCTAAGACTACCGTATCGGAAATAAATTTACACCACTTATACGATGATTATACATGGATAGGTGGTATTATTATTATTTATTATTGTGATAATATATAAATTACCAATAAAAAGTATTTTTTAAATGTGTTGAAATAAGGGCATTAATTTAACATAACCTCTTCAAGTTGTGTAAACAGTAGCGTACACTTTAACTACACCGTTTTCATTTTACACTCATAAGTTGTAACTACAGACTAATTAAAAACATTCAACACGTGACAATCCATTACCATACGTAAATAATTATCACACCGTTTAACATCAGTACACTTGACTCAATGTTTGTGTTCTCATAAGAGTATAAAATATCCTACACATATTGATGCTGTACTGTACTTACTGTCTGTGGGTCGGGCGTCGGTTAGGGCTGGTCCCGTGTTGTTGGTTTTTCTCAGTAGCTGGAGAATACTTGCCAGTTTGTTTACCGTCACGGGGTAAATGTTCGCCATTGCTTGTTAAAAAATGAACAACTCACAAATCATAATAATCCATAAATATGATGATAATTTGTGATCAAAGCATTCGTATTAAAGAGAAAATACCCCCAAAAAGTAATAATTAACGAAAAAATCCTGTGTGATTTTTTGTGTATTCATCTAGGAAATCTAAGAACTGTATGCCACGCCACATCGGCTCTCTAGCAAAAACACCGTAACTAAACCTCAACCTAATGATGATAAAATAAAACATACTGAACTGGATGAGATTAGCCCAAGCTTTGCCTTCGCCCGGATACGGAGAAAAAAATATCCTAGTACGATCCGCCTCCTAGGCCACCCGCACCTCCCTACCAAATTCCAGCTGTGTTCAAAACAGTGAAAATGCATAATGAACAGACACAAATAATGTACAGTATTTATGTATATTGATATTAGTTACCTAGGTTCAATATGCATTCAAAATCACCCGCCAAGATGAAAGAGGACCACCATACTCGTCATAAATAATTACCCATAAACAGTACAATTCTTAAAAAAGTACAATTTTAACCAACTTTGATAACTCTCCAATTAAAAATAACTGATTAAGACTTTGTCCCAGTTACTCTGATTTACTGAAGTATTCGGTTAAATGAAATCGAACCTGAATAGAAAATGGTCTCACACCACAAGCTGAAGAAAATGAACAACTTATGGGGAAACTCTTGTATTTTATATTATATTTTAATGCTTCACTAAACCTCGACCTACACTTGACTACCTTAATCTAACCTAACTTCCCGATGCATGGAATTTACTTTTTTGTTTTCTCTGAATCTCTCTCTCTCTCTCTCTCCCACTGTTCTCTCACACACTGCTCTCACTTTTCCCTCTCTCGTACACACACACACAAACACACTTCTCTCTCTCTCCCTCCCTCTCTCTTCCAGGAGCACACTGATGCAACATAGGGTATGTGGAGTCCCATCGGGTATCTAAGTCTCACCCAGGCCTCGCATGTGCTGCTGTAGGTCACCTGGGAGGGGTATTAGAGGCCCAGTGACCAGGTAATCGTAGCATTGTGTACAAGGGAAGGAACAGGTGAAGTACATTTCCCTAGTTTTGTATCGCACCTCGGGTAAGTCATCCTAGTATCGCCACAATGCAAGAACAAATTTACAAGTATTCCAAGTCTAGTTTAAGATATTTTCCCCAGGTGATAACTACAGAACTAATTAGATAGACGCAGACAGATGGATAAACTTCAGCAATGGACGAAGAGGAGAACCAGGGAAAACACAAACATCTTGACTAGGTTGGGTTTCTTTAATCACTAACGTTTCGGAAAATACTTTTCCATCATCAGAGCCAACTGTAGAAAACAAACAAAAGTAAAAAAAAAAATACAGGTAATATACAATAAAAACGTAACATTATTCTAAAATTTTCCTTCCGCAATATATACAAAAAGTATTATAATTTAAAACCAATAATAATGACAAGAGACCTACGTACAAAAAAAAATATATATACATATACATATACATATATATATATATATATATATATATATATATATATATATATATATATATATATATATATATATATATATATATATATATATATATATATATATATATATATATATATATATATATATACAGGAGCCGTAGGGTGAAAAAAAAATCACAGGAAGCCATATCACAAATGGATGGTTTCCACAATGAGCAGGTCCGCCTCACAGTTGTTCCTGCCAAGAACTGAGAAATCAAACTTCAAAAACGGGTGGTCATGTTGGTGGGCGTGGTTACGGATAGCTGAATGTGGTGGTTGTGTGATTAACTGGCCTGTTCGGACGGAACCGACCCAAGTGCTCATGGATGCGAGTTATCAAATGTCTTTTTGTTTGACCTATATATGCTGCCCTACTGCTACCACACGTAAATTGAGAAACAACTGAGGATTGCAGGTGTGTGGGTATGATGTCTTTAATGTTAACGATTTTTAATATATTTGAACTCCGGGCTTTGAAGACTTGTGTAAGTTTGTTTCTAAGGCTGAAACTGAGTGGGCCTGTGTACGGGATGGTGAAGTAGAAAGAATATTTAGGAACGATGTGGATTTGAGGCTGTGTGAGACCAAAAATCCCATTAAGGGTTTTGCCTATTTAAGTATCTGTAAATCTCTTAGGGAAACCATAATTAAAGAGTAGTTCCTTTATGTATTTCAGTTCAATGTCCAAGTGGAAATAGTTTGAACATTTATCAAAGGCTCTGTCGGTAAGAGTACGCACAAGATTTCGTTTGTAATTAAGAGGAATGGAAGGATTTTTTTATAGATAGATAAATATATAGACAGAAATACAGACAGACATAAATAAACAGATAGATAGACAGACAGACAGATATTCAATAGGTAGAATCATCACACGAATACACATGGGTCAGTCTGTACAGTACACAAGACAAATGTTGGGTTACTCACAGCGGCTCTAACAGCGAGTCACTAAACCAAACACTTACAGACATATGACTATTATCCCCTTAAGACCACAACATAAGAAGCATTGTTCAACTCACCCGTCCGTCCATCTTCCACTTAGGCGAACCTTTGTAATTCTTGTATCTGTTGGAGGATAAGCTGAAGTTCTTGGCGTTCTTGTCGCTGGCCATGAGCTTCTCCTTGAGGGCCTGCTTGTTGTGGTTGTTGTTGAAGCCATTGGTGGTGCTCTTAGACGAGGCCAGGTTCGGGGTACTGGTGGAGGAGGAGGACGAAGCGGAGGAGGAGTTGCGGTACCGACGGTGACACTCACACATGTTGGAGTGTCTGCTGGTGTCGTGACAGACGGGGCTGGAGTGGTGGTGTCTCAGGGACTTGATGAATATGCAGGTGGCCAAGTCGTCCTGCACCGCGTCCGTCTTCCCCATCTGTCACATTTTATTGAGGGACGCCACTGAGAAAAAGGGGTCCGGGTCACCACTCCCAACACCTTGACACCGACTACGACACAAAATAACTTAACTGTCGAGGAATATAAAGGTTAATTTCTCACCTTAATACCGAACTGTACATAACGCCCGCGGTCACTCAGTCTTTATGATGACACCTGAGACACCTGAGTACCACAGTTATTAAGGCTTGTGGGTATTCTTCACCTTGATGTTGAAAATACTCAGCCTTTTTATCATTCCACTAATATCCACAAATTAGTTTTCACTGTCGGTCGTATTACACTAATATAAAACACTATATTTCGTAAAAACTCGGTACACTGGCGCTGTTAATATTCTATGTCCTTTATCCATTCACTGTAAACACTAAAATATAAATCTGAAATAAATAAAAATACGTTGACATGACTGGACCATTTTCACAACACGTCAGCTTTACGACTCACTGAGATCAACGGTAGAGTGTTTCATTGTCCTTGTTCACGACCATGGTGAGGAGTACCACACGCCCTCACACTACCCTCAACACACTGTACATCCTCACCATCACTCCTACACGAAAGAAAATTAACATAGGTCTTATTTTTCTTCTCTTCACACCCTGGCGTTCCGGACTGGCAACAGGTGTGGGAGTGAAAGATACAGGTGTGTGGGTGAAAGGAACAGGTGTGTGAGTGAGAGAAACGGGTGAGTGATACATTATCCCCACCACCTACACACACCTGCCGTTTCTATCTGTCCTCTTGAACAAATATTTACACACACACACACACCTTACGACTCACATAACACGGTCAAGACAATAACATGGTGTGGTGATTCTTCCCTCCCGTGTCATCTGGATACCTTCCATGTCAGGTGTCAAGGAGGTAATTTATCCCGTGTCAGGAGGTGTCATATGCATAAGAGACATGACACTGATTTCTTCCACGTCAGGATTCAAGATGAAGCTGGGCTCTTCCTCAAAATAAACTTCAGCCTCGACACACACACACACACACACACTCTCACACACACACACACACTCAAGTCTAAGGTCGACACACCTCCTGTTTCACTACATCCTCGACCACTCCTGTAAAAGAAAACAACTTAATTAGAGCGAAAATTGAAAGTAAACAATAATAAACAAACAAACAAAAGATATTTAACTGTAAGACTATCAAGAAAGGTAAACAAGAAACAAACAAATAGAATATAACTACATAAACAAAAGGTAAACAGATAAAAAACAAGAACAAATTGCAATTAAAAATATCAACAGTAAGTCAAGGACAAACGTTCAGACATCAAACAAACTTCACAATAAAGACTATGTGTGTGTGTGTGTGTGTGTGTGTGTTAGTAGTAATAGTAGTAGATGTATTTGTAGCAAGAACAAACACACTACAGTACACTTGGCAACAATACATGGACTGTACCCAAAAAAATAAATACAATACCAGAAGCGACAACTGCATGTGATTACCCTGCCATGTAAACAAATGACGTCACAAAACCAGCGTGTGGGGCGATGCTGAAAGACGAATACATTCTTACCTCCCGTGACAGACCGTCTTCTAAAACACCAACAACACCAAGAATATGATATAAAATCTCGGTGGGTTTAGTAATATAAGGTGTGTGTGTTGTGACGGCCTTATGAATAAATACATAATAAGTATACTGTAGACTGTATACTCTGGGACTCAAGTAATGGTCATCTTACCCCAGTGACGTGTGGCAATGAGGAGGTCAATTCTGAGCTGTAATAGTACTGAAGCAACATGTGTTAAAAGGGTAAATAGTGCCAAGATTAATCTCCCTCAGACAGTAGCCCCAGGGGGACGTCAGTCACCTGTGGAACTAATTACCTGAAGGACCAAGGTGTGATGGCCCTGTAGGTGTGTTTGTATGAAAGAGGGCGTCACAGGGGCACCCCTCAGTGATGCCAGTTCTGTTGTTACTGTGACCAGGAAGGTTAAGTGTGTGAGAGTGAGAGAAGAGAGAAAGAAAAAAAAGGGAGGGTGACAGAGAAGGCTTCACATGAGACAGAGGAGAGCACAGTAGCATTGCATGTGATCTTGACTATTTAGTTGTTCCTTTTATAGACACCAAACCCTCTCCTCATACCGTGTTCATCCAATACCGTTGCTTTCATCACATCACGTACTGTATATACAAGTTTACCTCAGACCTGAACTTGAAGTCACCTCAGGCAAGAGATGGTAACCTGGAGGTGTCGATGTTTTAATATATTACACTGACAATTCAACAGGTACGGGGATCTTTAACCCCGTATTTCAAATTAGTCAATACACAATGCATTAATAAAAAAAAGTTTGAGAATATATGTTCACCGTAAAATTAACTACAAAATAAAAAGAACATTCACAAGCTAATGGTGGAGGAAGGAAGGGGGATGAATAAGAACAAGATAGCAGATAAACAAAAGAACATAAAACATAAACCTGTTTTAGTGCTAGGCGACCACATCCTGCTACATGGTCAAGGTTACATGCTCGGGATACCTCACTACACTGTAAATTACCTCAAGCTCTTACAATGGTGTTTACAGTGTCCGTCTACCGTGTATAATATAATGCCTGCCAGACGTATGATAACAATAACAATGAAGTCGAGGTTATCATCTTTCTGAATGAACTACAACGACCATGATACTTCATTTATTTAACAATACAATATATTACTGTTATTTCTATAAATGTGTGCGTGTATGGGGAGGTATCATTAATGTCAGTACCTTCTAATAGTACCAGACATGACAGTGTACAGATAATACGGCCACAGGTCAGCCATGGTGTACTGTATATTGTGGTGGTAGAGAATGATGGTAATAGTGGTGGTAGAGGATGGTATCGGTAGGGGTAGATGATGGTGGTGGTAGCAATGGCAATAGTAACGATGGTACAATGATTCAGTTTACACATTGTTTCAGTACCAACACCGAGAAGGAAAAAAAATACCAAAAAACTCACTTCATTAATGTTCGTGACCGTAATGAAACTCTCCCACCCTCCCCTCCACCCCGCGACACCACACCCACGCCACGCCCTACACTCTGGTTATGGCTCTCCACTTTTGCATATCGCCGCATTAGTTGACATTCTAAACCAAGGAAGACAACAGCAGCTTCTGAATACGTTACTACTAGATAAGGCTAATTCATAGACAACAAAAGCGAGTAATAGCTTTTGTCCAGAGGTTCAGTGTTTACAAGGATAACATGAAGATTAGACACCCTAGTTTATTTCACGTGATGAGTAAACACCCTAATGCGAATCTAATCTAACCCAATTTAAAGTAATCTAACTTAACCTAACCCAACCTATAATATACAATTCAAGGACGCGGTGGCCGAGTAGTTACAACGTTTGACTTCTGTTCTAAGGGTAGTTAGTTCGAGGCCGGGGCTCTCCCAGTCCACCAAGCTGTGACTGGGTACCTGTTTTGAGAGAGAGAGACCAAACACAATAGTTACAGTACCAGCTCGTCAAGATGGCAGAGAAGAGACTATCAGACCATCGCCAGCACTCCAATGTCAGCACCTTCGTCAGCACACCTACCACCACCTAAGTCAGCCGTTCCATTTCAACATGTTCATCAGCACCCTTCGTCAGTATCTCCTTCAGTAACTTCAAAGCTTCAGCGTCAGCCGTTAACATCAATACCTCTGCCAAAAGCTCTATCAACACCGCCAGTACCTCCATCAGCACCGCCAGTACCTCCATCAACACCGCCAGTACCTCCATCAACACCGCCAGTACATCCATCAACACCGCCAGTACCTCCATCAACACCGCCAGTACCTCCATCAACACCGCCAGTGCCTCCATCAACACCGCCAGTACCTCCATCAACACCGCCAGTACCTCCATCAACACCGCCAGTACCTCCATCAACACCGCCAGTACCTCCGTCAACGCCCCAACACACACACATAGATTGTTGACAAAATAGCCCACATAAGCCGTAGTTCATAGAGCGTGTAAAGGTTATGAGGGACCCAGATGGCTTTATGAGGTGTCGGCGGGGAAATAGTGGCTCAGCAGACATAAGAGGTGTAGGTCTGACTGACACGTGAACTGACTGTAATGATAAGTCAAAAAGTTATGCGGTAATATTTGTATTCTTGGCAAAGCTCTGCTCACTTGTGGTTTCCATGGTAACCTTCACATTTCGCAGACGTTGATTGGTTGAGTCATGATACCACATAGATTCAAAATAACAGAATTTCTATAACAGTATCTTTCGCGGTACCCCACTTACCCCCTCACACACACACACGATCGACCTCGGTTAACGCGGGGTTTTTTTTTATACAGCGTCACTCACTTGTTCGTGCACATTAAATGCTTTTACGGATATCTCACATCGATGACTTCAATAGACGTATCCCTCAGTGTTGTAAAGCATATGTATCCCTACAGTAAGGTCAATGTAAGGTGATCATTTGAGTTAGCGTGGCGTGTGGGGCGGCGTGTAAGGCAGCGGGCAGCGTAGGAATGTCAATGATGGGTTTAACAGAGCGGCGAATAGCGATGCAGTTCTGGAGCCTTGACTCCGCCACCCACCCAAAGATGGCGTCCAAGTCGACCAAAGAAGCGATTCTCAATTTGATGGATAAATTATTTTTTCAAGGTATTGCGATAATAATATTAATAAATGTACTTGAAAAATACAATTAAGTTACACACAAACTCAAATTCTACAAAAATATAAAAAATAGACCAAATTAACAATACTCAGGCATTTCTTAACAGCCAATCGGGAGGCAATCATACCATAAGACAGCCAATCAGGTGATCAGTTGAGAAGATAAGGATATGGAGCGCATCGACCAATTAAAATTCAGGCAAATGTATATAAACAGGAAATTATTAACTCGATTGGCCCAGTAGCTGCTCGGACATAGCTCTCCAAAACACAGACAGACACATTATTTCTACGTTAACCCACTCCTTTAGCGGCACGGGACAACAATATTCAACTCTTTTGTTAATCTTTTGTCTCGCGAGTAAATAAAAGATAGGCGTTACTCTTTTGTTTCAGGAATTAACAAAAAAATATATTCGTTAGTCTTTTGTTTCGTCAGTTAACAAAAGATAAACACAAGTAACTCAGCAGCAGAAGCGCGAGGCCCATGTTTACGTCTGTGTGAAGTATCAGGTAGTCGGTAGCCTCTCGCGTTACACTGCCTGGCGAATACTGCCTCTGCCACTCTCTCAACTCAGCAGGAAGTGTATCGTCACCACACACACACACACCACAAGAAGCTCTTAAGTCGTGTTTATTATAGTGAATGAGGCGACACAGACAGACACGACTAGCCACTACGACCACACGTCACCTGCCACACCCAGCTCGTGCAACACACCT